ACCACGTGAACTTTGTCATGGCCTCCTGTCTGCACATTGAACCGTGAGATCACTGCGTCCACTTGTCGCGCGATGGGGACGTGGTAGATGTATGTGTCCTCGCGCAGGGACACGTCAGCAGGCTGAGAAGCACCGCCGAAGCCCCATAGGCTCAAGTAGTTGGCGACCTCGCAGAAGCCGATGCTGTCGCCGAACGGCTTGGTCAGGATGTCTTTCACGTTGATGGATGCTCGACTCAGGCCTTGACGAAACGCACCGACCTCGCACCCAAAGAAAAGGTCAGCATCGGCTTCCTCGACTATCTTGGCGCAAATCCGCCCGAAGTTGGAGCAGTGAGTCTTGGAGTTCTTCCCCATCATCATGCTCTGCTCGAACCCGAAGTTAAAAGAGGCGACCGTAAAAGACGCAGGTTGAGGATCACAGCGAGCAGGCGCGGCCGCAGGCGTGTGTCGGTCTTCCTCCGCAGGCTGAGAAGCACCGCGAGAAGCCGAGGCTGCAGGCCGGTAAGGATAGGGCCAAGGGAGGGCCATCCTGGAAGGGCACGTCCTGAACCAAAGACGGCTGTCAAGACAATGACGATGACGATGACGATGACGATGCTGATGCTGATGCTGATGATGATGATGGCGATGATGATGATTTTGATGATGATGATGATTATGATGATGCTGTTGCTGCTGGTGATGATGGTGGTGGTGGTGATGGTGGTTGAGGTGATGGTGGTGGTTGTGATGATGATCAGTTGGCTCCGGGCATCCAAAATGTGGCCCGGGTATGGAGTTTTGGGAAATAGAAGAGCACGAAGTGGCCTACAGTTGTCTCCGGGCATCCAAAATGTGGCCCGGGAATGGAGTTCTGGGAAATAGAAGAGCACGAAGTGGCCTACAGTTGGCTCCGGGCATCCAAAATGTGGCCCGGGAATGGAGTTCTGGGAAATCGAAGAGCACGAAGTGGCCTACAGTTGGCTCCGGGCATCCAAAATGTGGCCCGGGAATGGAGTTCTGGGAAATCGAAGAGCACGAAGTGGGCACGAAGTGTGTGACTGTATGCGAAAAACGATCCCCGCCGGCAAACCCCAACAGCCCCCCAACTGCCCCCCAACTGCCCCCAACGGCTGCCCAGACCCACCTGTGGAGTAATGTTGAAGTAATGTTGAAGTAATGTGCTGCTCTCTTTTGATACCACTAGAAACCTACCAGTCTTCGATGTTAGGTAAAAACTGCTTCGAAGCGAGGGGGGCGGACGAGGGGACCGCCTCAGGAGGTTTTGGACGGTTTTGGGCCTCAAAATCGTCCGTTTTACGGTTTTGGAAGGATTTGGGCCTTCTCGCTTTTTCCGCTTTCCGACGCTCGAAGACAGCCCAAGAGGCCTCCAAGAGCGCCCCAGAACGGCCCAAGAGGCGTCCAAGAGCGCCCCAAGACAGCCCAAGAGGGCCCCAAGACGACCCAAGAGACGCTCAAGACGGCCCACGAGGGCCCGAAGACAGGCCCAAGAGGGGGCCAAGCGGGGGACCACGGACCGAAAATCCGAGCCTTCCGCCCCAAGAGGGCGCCAGGAGACCCAAACAGGCCCGAAGGAGCCCAAACGAGGCCCCTACAGAGGCCCCAACAGCTTCCAAAATGGCCCCGAAGAGGCCTCGAACCCGCCTCCGAGCTTCCTGCGGGGGTGCCAACACGGCCCCAGACCGGCCCAGGACGGCCCAAGGCGCGCTCAAGACGGCCCAAGACGATTCCAAGACGGTCCCAGGAGGGTGCGCCCAGGACGGCCCAAGGACGCGCCCGTTCGGGGCCTCAAGACGGACCAAGATGGCAAGAGAGTCCCAGCTGGCAAAAATCGTCAATTTTCCATTGTTTACGGTTACACCCTTTGCGTTTCCCGCCGTTTCGGCGGTCCGATGCACCAAGAGGCCCCAGAAAGTCCCAGGAGGGTCCGAGGAACCGCCCAGGAAGGCCCCAAGACGGGCCAAGACGGACCCAGCACAACCCAAGGCGCGCTGCGACGGCTCAAGACGGCTCCAAGACAGCCCCAAGAGGGTGCCAACACGGCCCCTGCTGGGCCCAGGACGGCCCAAGGAGGCGCACAGGAGGGGCCCAAGACGACTCCAAGGCGGCCTCCTCACGGTCCCAGACGGCTCCAAGACAGCCCCACGAGGACCCCGATGGGCCCAGGACGGCCTACGGACGCGCCCATGAGGGGCCCACGACGAACCAAGACGGCCCCATCAGGGCAAACGGCGCCCTCAAGACGGGCCTAGACGGCTCCAAGACGGCCCTTTGAGGGAGCCAACGCGGCCCCACACCCTTCGGGCGCACACTTGGGGGGGCTGGGAGCTTGCGACAAGTCTCCCACATTCATTGTCCTGCCCCATTCTGTTCGCCTGGAGGCCTCCTCCAACCCTGTGGGCGAACAAGAGGAATCCCAGCGGGACGCCAACCCTGGGGCCCGTGGGCCCCGCGCCGCTTGGGCAGAAGACGAACGCCGGGTCTGACAGGCCAGCTACCGCCCCCCTTTGCCCGATATGCTGTGCCATTCTGTTCCCCCAGGGGCCTTGGCAAACTCTTCGGGCCAAGCAGACCGGACCCCTGGGACAGCAGCCAATTGATATGACCCTGGGACCTCTCCGCATTCTTCGGACGAGCATCTGGGGGGCCCAGGAGATTCGGACATGTCTTCCCCATTCCTTGCCCTGTCCCGTTCTGTTCGCCCGAAGGCCTCCACAGACCCTCTGGGCGAACAGAATGGGACATGGCGAACAAACCCTCCCGTTGGCGGTGATGCGACTGGATCGCACCATCAAGGCGCGCCCGGAGGTGATGGCCGACCCAACAGCGGTTTCTCTTAGAGTTCACTGGATTTCGAATTTTCTTGAAGCTCTCTTGGGCCCTCCCTGTAGATCCTTGCGAGCCTCCCCGGCGCTTTCGGTGGCTTTCCCCGATGGCCTCCCGAGCCCTTCCCCGAGCGCTCCTGAGACGCCTCAGATGGGCTTCGACTTCGACGCACATCCCCGAGAGACTTCGAAACTGTCCTCAATAGGAGGGGGGTGAACGAGCAGTGCGCTGGGCCAAGCTGCTGCAGCGCTGCAAGAGCTCGGACACGAAGGCGCGGTCTCGCTGCCGCCGCCCGAGCCGCCGCCGTGTTTGTAGATTTTCGGTACAATCTGCGCCGTTCCTCCGAGAACCATTCCAGAAAGATGTCGTGGACGGAGTCCACGGGTCAGCCCTAGTCTGCTACAACGCTGGGATCAGCGCGTGCGAGAAGGGCGAGCAGTGGCAGCGGGCGGTGGCGTTGCAAAGCAAGATGCGGGAGGCGAAGCTGGAGCGCAATGTCATCTACACTACAACGCAGGGACACGTGCGTGCGGGGAGTGCGGGCGCTGGCGGGGCGTAACCGGCCCCCCTGGTCGCCCCACGACGGCCCGAGACGCACCAGATGGCCACAGAGCGCCCAAAACGGCCCCAGAGGGCCTTCGACTAGGTCCCACAGCGCTCCGAGATGCCCAAGCTAGGCACCAGACGGCCCAAAAGTCCTAGGACAGACGCTCCAAGTCGGCTCCAGGACGAGCCCCAAAAAGCCAGATCAATGACACATCGTGAGAATTCCTAGGCAAAACGAGCCGTTTTCCAGGTCCACTGCTTTTCGTCCACTGCGATGTCCACACGGCCCTTCAGCTCATCCCACCACGCCTCTGGAAGCCCCCTGGAAGGCCCCAAGATGGCCCCAGGACGGCTCCTGAGGCGCCCCTGGCGGCCCACGGGGTACCCAAGATAGCCTCAAGAACCGCCCAGGACGGCCCAAGACGACCCCCCGACGGTGCCCAGACTGCTCCAGAGACGCCCAAGGCGGACCCAGGCAACCCCCAGACGGCCCCGAGAAGATGGCCTGCAGGCGGCCCAAGAGGCTCCAAAACCTCCAAGTGGGCTTCACGACGAGCCCCAAGAGAGCCCGAACACTGAAAAATCTCCCATTCCTTTGGGGAAACGTGCATTTTGGCAGTTCATGGGGTTGCCCTCTTCATAGCGTCCAAGATGGCCATACAGAGGCCCAAGATGGCCCTAGGACGGTTCCTGAGGCGCCCCTGGCGGCCCACGGGGCACCCAAAACACCTTCAAGAGCGGCCCAGGACGGCCTTAGACGACCCCAGACAGTGCCCAGACTGCTCCAGAGACGTCCAGGACGGCCCCAGACAACCCTCAGACGGCCCCGGACCGCCTCCACACGGCCCAAGAGGCACCCGAGACAGTTCAACCAGCTTCCAGGAGGCCGAGAAGAAGCGCTGAGAGGCTCCAGAACGACCCCCAGGGGCCCCAAGATGACGGCCCAAGAAGCACCGAAGACAGCACCAACAGCAGCCAAAGGCGGCCTAAGACGGCCACAGACGGTCCCAAAACGGCTTCCAGCGCACCATGGGCCATCGATGCTTGTTCGACGCTCCCTGCCGGATGTTGCATCAAAATCCCTCGCCCTTTGTCGGTCTGGAGCCTTCTCCGCGGCCTCTTGGGGCCATGCCGTGTTTCGCTCTTCTGGTGGCCCAGAATCGCCTCGGCCGACCCTGGAAGCGTGCGCGACCGCCAAGGGCGCGTCGGGCGGGATTCTGGGTCGGCGGCGCGGTGGCCCAGAATCGGTCCCGCCGATTCTGGGTGGGCGGCCATTATGGAGCTATCTTGGAGGCGTGTTGGTGATCCTGGGCCCCATCAGAAGGCCCCCAGAAGCTCCCAGAACGCCCCGAAAACGTCGAACCCAACGCACCGACAAAGCCCGACCCGATCCCCATGGAGCCCTTGAGTGCCCCAGGTGGGGCGTCCAGACGCTCCTCCGTCTCCTCGCTCAGCGATGTGTGGCAGGCGAACATGACGCCATTCATCCTGATCGCCTTGCAGCAGCACCCCTTCACCCCGCAAGTGGACGTGGTCCACGGGTCAGCCCTAGTCAGCTACAGCGTTGGGATCAGCCCGTGCGAGAAAAGTAAACAGTGGCAGCGGGCTCTAGGACTGCTCCGCGAGATGCGTAAGGTGAAGCTCGAGCCGACCCTTATCAGCTACAACGCTGGGATCAGTGCGTGCGGGAAAGGCATGCAGTGGCAGCGGGCTCTAGGACTACTCGGCGACATGCGCGAAATGAAGGTCGAGCCCACTTTTATCAGCTACAGCGCTGGGATCAGCGCGTGCGAGAAGAGCAAGCAGTGGCAGCGGGCTCTAGGACTGCTCTGCGAGATGCGTGAGGTGAAGCTCGAGCCGACCTGTATCAGCTACAACGCTGGGATCAGCGCGTGCGGGAAGAGCAAGCAGTGGCAGCGGGCTCTAGGACTGCTCAGCGAGATGCGTGAGGTGAAGCTCGAGCCGACCTTTATCTCTACTACATTGCAGGCATACGCGGGTCTGAGAGGGGCGGGGGTCGGGTGGCTCCTCCGACGCCCCGGTCCCGGGCGGCGCGGTTCAAAGGCGGCTCTGGAGAGGCTCCGGAGGCCCCAAGACGCCCCCAAGACAGCTCAAGGGACCCCAGAGACGCCCAAAGAGCGCTCCAAGAGGCCGTCCAGACGGCACAAGAGGCCTGCAAGCGTATTCCCCGATGGCCCCGAGCGGCCAAAATCATCCACCTTAGGACAGTTTTGGAAGCATTTTGGCCTTCTCGCCTTTTCCGCTTTCCGACGCTCGATGACGGCCCAAGAGGCCTCCAAGAGCGCCCCAGAACGGCCCAAGAGGCCTCCAAGAGCGCCCCAAGACAGCCCAAGAGGGCCCCAAGACGACCCAAGAGACGCTCAAGACGGCCCACGACGGCCCGAAGACAGGCCCAAGAGGGGGCCAAGCGGGGGACCACGGACTGAAAATCCGAGCCTTCCGCCCAAAGAGGGCGCCAGGAGGCCCAAACAGGCCCCCCAAAGGCCCCAAGGGGCCGCCAAGAATCCCCCGAAGAGGCTCCAGGAGGCTCCCAAGGAGCCCAAACGAGGCCCCAACAGAGCTTCCAAAATGGCGCCAAAGAGGCCTCGAGCCCGCCTCCGAGCTTCCTCGCCGCGGGGGTGCCAACACGGCCCCAGACGGGCCCAGGACGGCCCAAGGCGCGCTCAAGACGGCCCAAGACGACTCCAAGACGGTCCCAGGGGGGCGGGCCCAGGACGGCCCAAGGACGCGCCCGGTCGGGGCCTCAAGACGGGCCAAGATGGCAAGAGAGCCCCAGCTCGCAAAAATCGTTCATCTTCCATTGTTCACTGTTGCACCCTTTGCGTTTCCCGCCATTTCGGCGGTCCGATGCACCAAGAGGCCCCAGAAAGTCCCAGGAGGGTCCGAGGAAACGCCCAGGAAGGCCCCAAGATGGGCCAAGACGGACCCAGCACAACCCAAGGCGCGCTGCGACGGCTCAAGACGGCTTCAAGACAGCCCCAAGAGGGTGCCAACACGGCCCCTGCTGGGCCCAGGACGGCCCAAGGAGGCGCACAGGAGGGGCCCAAGAAGACTCCAAGGCGGCCCCCTCACGGTCCCAGACGGCTCCAAGACAGCACCACGATAGTGCCAAGAAGGACCCCGATGGGCCCAGGACGGCCTACGGACGCGCCCCTGAGGGGCCCACGACGAACCAAGACGGCCCCATCAGGGCAAACGGCGCCCTCAAGACGGGCCTAGACGGCTCCAAGACGGCCCTTTGAGGGAGCCAACGCGGCCCCACACCCTTCGGGCGAACACTCGGGGGGGCTGGGAGCTTGCGACAAGTCTCCCACATTCATTGTCCTGCCCCATTCTGTTCGCCTGGAGGCCTCCTCCAACCCTGTGGGCGAACAAGAGGAAACCCAGCGGGCCGCCAACCCTGGGGCCTGTGGGCCCGGCGCCGCTTGGGCAGAAGACGAACGCCGGATCTGACAGCCCAGCTACCGCCCCCCTTTGCCCCATATGCTGTGCCATTCTGTTCCCCCAGGGGCCTTGGCAAACTCTTCGGGCCAACCAGACCGGACCCCTTGGACAGCAGCCAATTGATATGACCCAGGGACCTCTCCGTATTCTTCGGACGAGTACCTGGGGGGCCCAAGAGATTCGGACAAGTCTTCCCCATTCCTGGCCCTGTCCCGTTCTGTTCGCCCGAAGGTCTCCACAGACCCTCTGGGCGAACATAATGGGACATGGCGAACAAACCCTCCCGCTCAGATGGGCTTCGACTTCGACGCACATCCCCGAGAGACTTCGAAACTGCCTTCAATAGGATGGGGGTGAACGAGCAGTGCGCTGGGCCAAGCTGCTGAAGCGCTGCAAGAGCTCGGACACGAAGGCGCGGTCTCGCTACCGCCGCCCGAGCCGCCGCCGTGTTTGTAGATTTTCGGTACAATCTGCGTCGTTCCTCCGAGAACCATTCCAGAAAGATGTCGTGGACGGAGTCCACGGGTTCGCCCTAGTCAGCTACAACGCTGGGATCAGCGCGTGCGAGAAGAGCAAGCAGTGGCAGCGGGCTCTAGGACTGCTCTGCGAGATGCGTGAGGTGAAGCTCGAGCCGACCTGTATCAGCTACAACGCTGGGATCAGCGCGTGCGAGAAAGGCGAGCAGTGGCAGCGGGCTCTAGGACTGCTCTGCGAGATGCACGAAATGAAGGTCGAGCCCACTTTTATCAGCTACAGCGCTGGGATCAGCGCGTGCGAGAAGGGCAAGCAGTGGCAGCGGGCTCTAGGACTGCTCAGCGAGATGCGTGAGGCGAAGGTCGAGCCCACTTCTGTAAGCTACAACGCTGGGATCAGCGCGTGCGGGAAGAGCAAGCAGTGGCAGCGGGCTCTAGGACTGCTCAGCGAGATGCGTGAGGTGAAGCTCGAGCCGACCTTTATCAGCTACAACGCTGGGATCAGCGCGTGCGGGAAGAGTAAGCAGTGGCAGCGGGCTCTAGGACTGCTCTGCGAGATGCGTGAGGTGAAGCTCGAGCCGACCTTTATCAGCTACAACGCTGGGATCAGGGCGTGCGAGGAAGGCGAGCAGTGGCAGCGGGCTCTAGGACTGCTCTGCGAGATGCGTAAGGTGAAGCTCGAGACCGATTTTATATGTACTACAATTCTGGTCGAAGCACGTGCGCGCAAGGCGGTAGAAGTCTCCAGCGCGCAGCCCCAGACCTCCTGCGGTGCCGCTCGGAGCCTCACGGAGTTCACGGGGATCCCTCCAGACATCCCTCGAGCCGCCCACCAGGGCCGGGAAGGAGGCTCCGAGAGCTCGCCGGAGGCTCTCCGTGGGCCCCAGATGGTCCAAGATGGAAGACGCCCCCAGGCCGTTCGCCCAGGGGACCGCCCCAGGAGGCGAACATCATCAATATCGAATCGTTTTTGTTCACAGTTCCACTGCTTCCCACCCTTCCGCTCCGGATCGCTCCGAGCATAGCCCACGAGGCTGCCTATAGAGCCTGAGATGCACATCTGAGCCCTCTTGCGGGGCCAAGGCTCACCCGAGATGGCCCCAATACGGCCCCAAGACGGCCCGAGAGAGCTGAACTACGGCCCCGGAAGCCCCCAATACAGCCCTGGATGCCCAAAAGACGAAGAGGAAGCCCACAGGGCCCCGAGACTCCCCCAAACATAGTCCCCGAGGCTCTCCAGACAGCCCCAAGGCTTCCAAGGAGGCGACGGGGGGGACCTCTCCAGACCCTCCAGTCTTTCGAGCGGCCCCTGGAACCTCCAGCCGCTCTGGCACCATTCCCCAGAAAGGTACTTTGGTTTCCTTAATAAGCGCGGGGGGGGTTACCCCCCCACGGGGGTCACCCTCGCCTCGTCGTCGCGCCGCGACGGGGGTCGGAGCGCCTTCGGCGCGCGGTGGCTGCCCGCGACGGGGGTCGATGCGGGGCTGTTGGCGGGGGTGACGTTTCCTCGACGCTTGCTATCAAGGGTGTAAAGACGCCCCCACCCTGCTTTACGAGGCGCTGTGCGCTGAACCTCTGGTGGGCTGACAGAGTAGACCCTGCCTGTCGCGCGTGTCGCGCGGCGTCCTGGCGGCTCTCTGGCCTGTGGAAGCTCTCAGGAGGTTTGCAGACCACGCGCTTGTACCCCAGGAAAGGGACGTCCTGCGACGGAGTTCGGAGTGGGGGCGACGGGGGGGACCTGCAGTCACTTCGAGGCCCCGGCGCCAGCGCCGTGCGCACTGCACCCGGTGGCGGTTCTCCCCTACTGCTCTTCCGGCCTCCCCGTTCGCGCTCCTCGGCTCGCGTCCCCTCTCGTTGCCCTCCTCTCTGCACCGCGCCCTCGTCCTCCGCTCCGCCGCTTCCTCTGCATCACCCTCGAGTTTCTCCAGGAACCCCTCGTCCTCCACCTCCCTTCTCGTTCAGCACCGCCCAAGGCTGCCAGGTCGCTCCCTCGGCCAGTGGGGGGTGACGGGGGGACCAGCAGGAGTGACCTTCACCCCGGCCGCTGGCTCCCCACGGGTTCGCACTAGTCTCTCCTGCGTCGCGAGAGGGGCCTGAGGCCCGATTGAGCCCCGGGGTCCTCCGGGGCGGCCTCTGAGCCCACGGGGCGCTGCGCGACGGCCTCTCAGAGGGTCCCCAAACGGCCTCAGACGGTCCTATGGCAGCTCCGCGATGCTCCAGAGGTGCCGAAGCGGCTCCCGAGGACTCGCAGGGACCCCCAAGACGACCCGAGAGGGCGTGAAGACAGGCTACGGGGCCCGGGGCCCCCAAGACTGCTCAGGAGGTCCCTGCTGACGGCGCCACCAGGCCAAAACAGAGATTCCCCTGCGCTTTTCTGTTGTTGCTTGTTTCCTGAAGTTTGTCAGGTTCTGGCCATTTCGGACCAAGGGCGGCCCCGGGCGGCTCCAGGGGCCTTCAAGATCATCCCATGATGGCCCCAGAGCCCCCGCATAGGGACCCAAGATTGACCCTCCAAGACAGCCCCAAGGAGAGACGGTTCCAAACTTCTAGCACGGCCCCCAGATGGACCAGGCACCTCCCAAGGCAAACCAAGGGATGGGCCCCAAGAGGCCCAGGGGGGGGTGCTTTCGGCAGCATCGCCGCCGCCCCCCGAGAACCATTGCAGAAAGATTACGTGGACGGAGTCCACGGGTCAGCCACAGTCAGCTACAAGGCTGGGATCACTGCGTGCGAGAAATGCAACCAGTGGCAGATGGTCTGTTCGTTGCTCAGCGAGCTGCGGGAGGCGAGGATGAAGCCCACCGTCACCTGCTGCAATATTGGGATAACGGCATGTGGAAAGCAAGGGCAGTGGCAGCACGCGCTGTCGTTATTTACGATGATGCATCACAACAGCCTGGAACCAACTCAACACAGCTATACTGGTGTCATCTTAGCGTGCGGTTGCCGTGGGAAGTGGCAGCATGCCTTGTCGATGTTCTTGCACTCGTGGCAGGACAGTGCGTATCCAGATGCAGTCAGCCTCAGTGCCACAGTCAAGGCTCTTGTCGTGGGACTGTCTCGCAGTCCCGCAAAACAAAATGTGCCGCGATGAGCACTTGAAATGCCGATAACTTCAAACCTACGGAGTCCGTAGGACAACGCTGCAGTGAGCACATCCAATGAGACACTGGCCTCCCGGCATATGCCCCTCGGAAATATCCGAACCTTCAAAGGCCCCAGGAAACCATAGAAGCCATGGGGTGCGGCACCACAGGAAGTTGAGAGGTCGGCGACAAAGGCATTCCCAGATCTGTTCCCTCCAGGCTGTTAGATGTTGTCGATTGCACCCCTCTAAAGCTCTCTTCATCTCCCTCACATGCTTCCCCGTGCCCCCTCCTCAGGCTTCATCTGCTGCCCCCGTCACATGTTTGCCCGTCCCCGTCCCCCTTCCCCTCTCTTCTCCATCGTCTGCTTCATCTCCCCGCCCCCGTCCTCTTCCCCATCCAGAAGCCTTCTTCGTTCTCCTCCTCCTCCTCCTCGTCCCCCTCGTCGGCTTCTTCTTTGACCTCATCCTCCTTTCCTCCACGCCGTTTCACTGCCTCCTCCCCCCCACCCCCCCATCCCCTCCCTCATCATCTGTCCTGTGGCTCCCCGCCTCCCCGTTATGCCCAAGACCCAAGACCCTCCTCCGTCCTTCTCTCCTCTGCCTCCAGGCTGCCCCTTGGCGGCGTGCGGCGGCGCCAGCAAGCGTGGCACAGGCCAGCCGGCGGGAGGACGACGGATCGCGGAGGGGGAGGCAGGTGGCAGGAGGTTCGAGGTTCAATCGAAGAGGAAAAACACTTTCACATAAACTTTTGGCGCTCCGCGCGGGTTTCTCGGATTCGCGCTGGACGCCCTTCCCTGGCGTGGTTTTGTCTTCTTCTCTTCAAGGGCCGAGGTGGCAGGTGGCAGGAGGTGCAGAGTTCGAGGGGTGATGTCCTTGGGGGTGTTTCTTCGTCCCCCTGGGGCCTCCTGGAGAGGCTCCTCGTGGCCGCGGCTGGATTCGCGTCGGCAGTGTCTGCGCAAGAGGGGAGCAGAGGGGAGAAGCAGAGCACGGATCTGCATCGATGTACGTGGCGTGGGACGGATGGACAGAAGTCGATCGATGTTGATCGCGGCATCGACGGGCCCTCTGTGCTCTGTAGTGTTGGGGCGAGTGTTGCAGGAGGGGGAGGAGGAGCTCCGTCGATTGGGCCCCTGCTGGGTACCACAGGAGGAGGAGGAGGAGGAGGAGGAGGAGGAGGAGGAGGAGGAGGAGGAGGAGGAGGAGGGAGGAGGACGTGGAGGAGGAGGAGAGGGAGGAGGATGGAATAATGTCGCATTCATATCAGCACTCCCCTTGCGTGGTGTTTAGCTGTCCGTAGCAGATCCTCACCTACATGCTCCTTCTACCCGCCTTGTGCACGCAGGCGCTGTGGTGTTTACCGGCGCTGCGTTGCACGCGAATGCTGTGGTGTACACAGGCGCTGTGGTGCACGCACGCACTTCTCTAGCTCTCTCTCTCTCTCTCTTTCTTTCCCTCTCTCTCTCTCTCTTCTCTTTTCGTGTTTCTATCGTTCTCTCTCTCTCTCTCTCTATCTCTCCCTCTCTCTCTCTCTCTTCCTTTTCCGTCCCTGAGGGGGTCTTAGACCTTCAGGGTGGCATTGGGGCAGTAAGGAGTGGCCTCGGGGTGGTTGAAATGAGGTGGAACCGCATGAGGGGAGAGGGAGGAAGGGGAGGAGGAGGAGGAGGAGGAGGAGGAGGAGGAGGAGGAGGAGGAGGAGGAGAGGGAAGAGACGGGAGAGGAGGAGGAGGAGGAGGAGGAGGAGGAGGAGTAGGAGGAGGAGGAGGAGGAGGAGGAGGAGGAGAGGGTGGCGATGATGAGGCAAGAGTAGGAAGCATGATGATGTATGACGAAGGAGGAGCAGGGGGGAGGTGGGAGGGGACGAGGATCATTTCGGCGTGTGAGCATGATGATGCTGATGATGCTAATGATGATGATGGTGATGATGATGCTGCTGATGATGATGATGCTGATGATGATGAGGATGATGACGAAGATGATGATGATGATGATGCTGATTCTGATGATGATGCTGATGATGATGCTGATGATGATGCTGATGATGACCATGCTGAGTATGATTATGATTAGGATATTGATGATGCTGAGGATGACGATGCTGATGCTGATGATGATGATGGTGGTGATGATGACGATGATGATGAGAATGATGATGCTGAGGATGAGGATGATGATGATGATGATGATGATGATGATGATGATGATGATGATGATGGTGATGGTGATGGTGCTGGTGATGCCGATGATGCTGATGACGATAGTGATGATGATGGTGATGGTGATGGTGATGGTGATGGTGATGCTGGTGATGCCGATGATGCTGATGACGATGGTGATGATGATGATGCTGATGATGATGATGCTGATGAAGATGATGATGATGATGATGATGAGGATGATGATGATGATGATGATGATGATGATGATGATGATGATGATGATGATGATGATGATGATGATGATGCTGATGATGATGATGACGGTGATGATGAGAAGTATGATGATGACGATGATGATGATGCTGATGATGCTGCTGCTGCTGATGATGGTAGTGATGATGATGAGGAGGAGGAGGAGGAGAAGGAGGAGATGGACGAGATGGAGAACAAGGAGGATACAGGGGGGCCAAAAGGAGGAGGTCGAAGAGGAGGGGGAGAAGGGTAGGAAGGAGAAGGACGGACGGAGGAGAAGGCTGGAGGAGGATGGACGAAAAGGAGGAACGAGGATGGAGGAACGAGGAGGAGATGGAGGAGGAGTAGGATATCTCTGGAGGTCTTCAGAAGTTTCTGGATGTTACTACAGCGAAGCAGAAATCATCACCGAAATCATCCGCATCATCCCCAAAATCCCCCCTCGAAGGGAGACAGAACGGAACGGGAAAGAAGACAGATGTTGCGGCTGGCAGTTACTTCTCAAGGATCGTCTTGCCGATCGTCGCGGAACCTCGCCCGCCCTCCCATCCCCCCATAGACTAGATCTTGGCTGCTTTAGGCGACTGGGCAGGATCCCCCCCTCCAGTCTGCTCGAGCGACTGTCAACAACGGATCGACTTAGCACCTGCCAAGACCTTCGACACCCTTCGGCCAAATGTCGAAACCCAGAATCACAGAGACGAAAAATCGCTTGCTTGGGTCATACCCACGATTCTGCATCCCTTCGCAGGCCAAGTGGTCCGCCCGAGTCGCCGGAACCGTTGCCCGCTGAGTTGGTGCGCGGCTAAGAAAAGATTGCTAATCTGATTATGCTCCCTGTCACCTGGGCCATCCATCAACTGCAACCTATCATGATTGGCAGTGTTGCATGTGGCTTGGTGTTCATGATATTTTAGGGATCCTCGAGTGGTCTATGGCTTCACACGCATGCTCAATTTTGGGTGCCGTCTTTTATGTGGGCAGTTTGACGGCAAAGGCGCACGATTCGTCCAGTTCTGTGATTTGTACGTCTCTCGTGCACTTGATCGCGCTGATGCCATCCACCCGCTGAATTTTTCAGCGAGCATTACTTCCAAACGTGCAGGGTACATTGAATACCCTGACTTTCCTGGACCATTTACTATCTCGTTGTCAAGCCCAGTGCGCCCGACCGCCTCACAACTCTCTTCCCTCTGCCAGCCTCCCCACCGCCTCCCCTCCCTGGGAAGGCGGAGAATGGTGAGGAGAGGGCCGAAGACGACGATTGTGGACGATGGTGACGAGGAAGGTGGAGGCGGAGCAGGAGGAGGAGGAGGACGAGGGCAAGGATGAAGACGACGAGGAGGACGAGAGGCAGGCTGTGTCGACGACGACGACGACGACGACGAGGAGGAGGAGGAGGAGGAGGAGGAGGTGGAGGAGATGGAGGAGCAGGAGGAGGAGGAGGAGGAGGAGGAGGAGGAGGAGGTCGACGACGCCGCGGAGAAGGGTTACCGCACGTGCGCGCGCGCCCCTGCGCCCCCCGGGAAGGGCACCTGGCGCTGCGTGCAGTGGGGGGGCGAGGGCGCGCCCGGCCCCAATCTGCGCGGGCGAGGGGGGCGTGGGGCGGCCAGGGGAGGCCGGGCGCAGCACCGCAGCGACGTCGGGGGAGGTGGGGGGCGTCCAAGAGGGGGGGGGCCTCCGAGAGGGGGGTGCACAAAAGGAGGAGGAGGAGGAGGAGCTGGCCCTGAGGAGGGCCCGTGGGGTCCAGGACCGTGTCATGCGGGACCGGGCTCCGTCATGTCGAGCGGTTGGGGGGAGGTCTACATCATCTTCGGGGGGCGGGGCTGCCATGAGAGAAGGAGAGAGAGAGAGAGAGAGGGAGAGGGAGAGAGCCAGAGGGAACGAGGCACGACCAGAGGGAGAGAGAGGGACACCGAGAGAGAGAGAGGACCAGAGAGAGAGTTAACGAGTTAATTCGAGAGAGAGAGAGAGAAAGGAGATAAGAGTCGAAGGAAGACAGAGGGAAAGAGAGAGATAGAGAGCAACATAATAAAACATCGAGATCGTGAGAGAGAGAGAGAGAGAGAGAGAGAGCAAGGGGGAGCCAGAGAGAGGGGGGAGAAAACAGAAGAGGTGCAGGAGCCGTGCACATCATGGTCGCGTTGGCAGAAGGCGAAGCGGCTAGGCTCCAGGTGAAATCGTAAGATTGGTAATCCTTATTACAGGTTGAGCAGGCGGGCAAGGAGGAGAGGCCCCGAGACTTCGTGATGGGAGGGGTGGGCCAGGCCGAGCCCAGAAGGCCAGCTCTCTCCCAGTCTGGCTGGTAACCTTTCCGCTTGACGTGGGGACACCGAAGCAAGCCTAGGGCCGGGGCCCCTCCTTCGGATTGGTTCTGCTGCCCCCTCCTCCTCCTCCTCCTCCTCCTCCTCCTCCTCCTCCCCCTCCTCCTCCTCCTCCTCCTCCTCCTCCTCCTCCTCCTCCTCCTCCTCCTCCTCCTCCTCCTCCTCCTCCTGCCCCGAGGGGGCCCCTCCCGTAGGGGAGGGGTCGGGACCCCAGGGTCCTCCTGGCGCAGGCGGGGAGCGCCGGGCCCGAGGGGCGAAAATCCCCCGCACCCCGGGGGACGCCGCCAAAGTGCGGTTTCCTTCCCCCGGGGGGGTCGCCAGGCCCCGTGTGCTTCCCCAGGGCGGTGCTGGGTCCCCCCCAGCACTCGCCGCCCTGGGGCGGGGCTGGCGGCTCGTCTCCGTCGTGTCGCTCGTCCGTCTCGTGTCGTTCGTGTCGCGTCGTTCGTTTCGTCCCCCTGTCGTGTCGCGTCGTGTCGTGGTCCCGGGGCCGTAAAACGCGGCCACCCATGGAGTGGGTGGTGGGTAGGGTTGGCGCTGAGCACGGCTCGCGCCCCCTACCCCGACCAGGGAGCGCGGAGCACGGTCTCCCAGCGCTCCCTGGTCGCGCTTAGGTCGCGCCACGGGGGCATGGCCCCGACGGTGGCGCGGCCTGCGCCGTTTTTGGTGCATCTCGCTGGCACTCGCCATGCCAGCGGAGTCATGTGGCTGTTCATGGGTCGACCAAAAAAAAAATCCTCCTCCTCCTCCTCCTCCTCCTCCTCCCTCCTCCGGTCGGCAGGAGGAAAGGGCGGACGGCGGCGCAGGGCGCTCCCGCTCGGGGCCCGGCAGCGGGCGGCTGAGGGCCGGCTTCGGGCGTCTCACCTCGGGGCGGGGGGTGGAGCCCCGAGGTTTCCAGCTTCTGCTTCGGCTTTCGCGAGGACGCCCGCGGGAAGTTTCGGTGGCCGCAGGGAGGACGAGGTCCCAGACATGATCGCGTGGCAAAGAAATCGGGGCCGTCAAACAATTATGCAGGACGAAAAACCGGTCCCGGGGAAAGGGTCGGGATTTCCAGGGATGCCGTCCTGAAAAAAATCTGGACGTCGCAGGCCTGGGCTTCGGTTTTCACGATGACGCTCGCAGGAGCCCCCCCCCCGAGTCAGGTCAGGCGTCTCGGAATCTCCCAGCTGCTATTCTGCCATCCTTCCCTCTCGTCGTCCCCTCTCCTCGCCCCCTCTGCCCCTCCTGCGGTGGAGGGCGCATCAGGGAAAGTGGCAGGTGGGGAGCCATGGGGCTTGCTCCCTCTGATCGGGGGCAGAAAAGAGGGGGGTGATGACTAGGGGGGGTGGATATCATGGAGTGGGCCATGACATCTCCCCAGATTTCATGGCACCTCTTCTTGTTTCATTACGTCCCTGGCCCCCACGCTGGGCCGCGCACATGCCGCCGGTCATGATTTGCACCCCCCCCTCTTGGACATCCCCCTCTTGGCCGCTCCCGATCTGAGGTGGAGCACGCCTCAGGGAAGGTGGCCGGTGGGAAAGCATGGGGTGTCCTCCCCCGGGCCAGGAGCCCAGGCCATGGCGCCGTGTGCCACCAACGCTTGCCTTCGAGGCGTTCCCTCCCTGGTCAGCAGAGAGGAGGAGGAGGCGGAAGGAAAAGGAGGAGGAGGAGGAGGAGGCGCAGGAGGAGGAGGAGGAGGAGGAGGATCTCATAATCCGCCGCCGCGGCGTACAGCGCACGCCCCAGCCCGGATGGGGGATCTCATAATCCGCTGCCGCGGCGTACAGCGCCGGCCCCGGCCCGGCGTCGAGACTCGGCCGGCGGCCGTGGGCCAAAGCCTGCAGTTCCAGAGGAGGGGGAGGAGGAGGAGGAGGAGGAGGAGGAGGAGGAGGAGGAGGATCAGGAGGAGGAGAAGGAGGAGGAGGAGGAGGAGGAGGAGGTCCAGTGTAATCCCAAGAGTCATCAACGATGTTTGAATTCACCCTCCCTCCAAGCTCCCTCTTCATGGGCCACTACAACGGTTCATTTCCATTTAAGGGGACTGCCTCTCTTGAAGTCAACCGTTTGAAGATCCTGTAGCATGCCAAAATATTGTTATCGGGATTTCAACGCCACGTATCAACCTCACTGCTGTGTTTTGGCGATCCCGAATCGTGCCATAAGCCAGTTTTTGGATTTCAACACAGCGATTAAACATGACTGTTGCACCAGCGTGCTCCTGAATCCAGCCGAAACACCATTGCTGGTGCGTTGACCATGGGAGTCCGTAGAACTCTTACGTGTTCCAAACAAAGAAAAACCAATGTGCGCGGCGCTGAAGCGAGAGCCACATTTTGAAAACGACCCGCCCTCAATCCGTGTAGCTCTTGTAAATGTTTAAAACGAATGTGGGCGGCGCTAAGGCGAGAGCCACATTTTGAAAAGGAGCCGCCCTCAACCAATGAAGCTCTCGCAATGTTTTACAACGAATGTGAGCGGCGCTAAGGCGAGAGCCACATTTTGAAAACCACCCGCCCTCAATCCGTGAAGCTCTTGGAATTTTAGAGAACGAGCATGCGCGGCGCTGAGGCGAGAGCCACATTTTGAAAACCACCCGCTCTCCATGTGTGAAGCTCTCGCAATGTTTCAAAACCAATGTGCGCGGCGCTAAGTCGAGAGCCACATGTTGAAAACCACCCGCCCTCCATGTGTGAAGCTCTCGCAACTAAGGAAAACGAATGTGGGCGGCGCTAAGGCGAGAGCCACATTTTGAAAATGGCCTGCCCTTCATATGTGAAGCTCCTGCAAGTTTTGAGAACGAATGTGCACGGCGCTACGGCGAGAGCCACATTTTAGAAACGACCCGCCCTCCATCTGTGAAGCTGCTGCCACTTTTTAGCTTCAGGGTCTTAAATGGTGAGGAAGTCTCGGGCGAACCGCCCGGCCCGCCCTAAAAGCTGGCCTCAGGGTGCGACAGGGAGGAGTTATCTACACGGAGAAGGAATGGAGAGAGAAAGGAGAGGGACTGGAAGCAGGATTCCAGAATCCCCATAGAGTCCCCCAAACGGACAAAAGCTTCGTCCCTCCAGCCGTTCTGGGGTGCAGGTTGGTTTCGCGCCAGAGGCCTGGCATCGGCCTGGATCGAGCGACCTGCGCAATCGGAGCGCCGCGCTCGTTCCAAGGTTGAACGCTCCACGTAGTGTTGGTAACCAGCGCCGGCGTCACCGCGACGCGAGCCCTGCGTACGCCTGGGGATGTCGGAGGGGGCCAGGACAAGGATACATCCGTTCCAGTGCGTTCCCGAACGCTCTCAGGGCGTTCCAGAACGCTCTGAGAAGGCCAAGACGCCCGAGACATCCTCCAGATCTGCCCGATCTCAGAGATTATCGGTTGCTCCTCACCCGAACTTATCCTGTTACGATGTCGGGTCCATTCATCAAAAGATGGATCCATTTACGATCTGTTCTGGCTCCGTCTTACGATGTCGAAGCCATCTACTTAGCTCTTCCACTCTGCCGCGGGGGCCCGCCTCCCCGAAGCAGCGCGCAGCGGCTCGGATGCGAGGGGCCGGGCGAGGGGGGGGGCCGCGGCGGCCCGCGGTGGCCGCGCTCGAGCTGCGGCGCCAGCCGCGCGTGGCAGCGCGGCCGCAGGAGGCGGCCTCCTCTCTCGTCGCCGTCTGCCGTCGTCGTTCGTCGCTGTCAGTCGTCGTCGTCGTCGTCGTCGTCGTCGTCGTCGTCGTCGTCGTCGTCGTCGTCGTCGTCGTCGTCGTCGTCGTCGTCGTCGTCGTATGCGTGTCCGAGAGCCTCGAGGAGTCTCCAGACGCCTCCAGAGGTCTCAGGAGACCTCCTCAGGCGCCCAGTGGCTTCCAGAGGATCTTCAGAGGCAGCCAGCATAGTCGTCGTCCTCGACGTCTTCCTTGTCGCCATCGCCGTCTTCGCTTGACTTCGGGCACTCTGTTTTTGCTCCAATCCCAGCGGTAGTCTCTGATTTCTGCCTCGAGCAGCCGCTTACGAAGCCCTGGGTCATAGAAACCTGGCCTGGGAGGGGAGGCTATGCTCCCTGTGAAGGGGGACCGAGACTTCTGGGGCCCGCAGATTGACAAATCCGCATCGTCAGATATATGGGGCCTCGTCGTCGTTCTAGTCGTCTTGTGTTTTTCCTTCAATTATCATGCTGGTCCACCTCCCCCTTCTCATCCCTCTCTTCCTCTGCCGCCTGCAATCCTATCTTGCTCCTGCTGCTCCTCCTTCGCCTCCACCTAATTTTGTATGTTGTCCGCTTGGTGGTTCCAGGGCCAGAAGCATGCCCGCAGACGTTAGACAACTGAAAATGACAGCGTAGAGTTCAATAACTAGATTCTCGCCCAGAGCTTGGAAACGGTGTGCCATTTGCCAGGCCTCGGAAGTCCCAGAGGTTGCAGGTGGTCTCCCAAGGCTTCGAGACCCTAAGGGAGCCCCAGAATCAAAACGGCAACCACGGGCAAGGAGTCAAGGATCGAGGATCCAGGATCCATGGAGGATCCATGGAGGATCCATGGAGGATCGAGGATCGATCGAGGATCGAAAATCGATCGAGGATCGGAGGATCGAGGATCGAGGAGCGAGCCCCCAAAACGTGTGCAAAGCGAGGGGCGGGAGCGAAACCGAGCAGTCTCGCGCGGGGATCCTCTGGCTTGCGGCCCTTGGGAGTCTGGATCCCCTTCTCCCAGAGGCAAGCTTTTTCACCGTCGGAGACTGGCTCTGAGTGTCTGGCTGACCCAAGAGGGGGTCCAGCAACAAGGGGTGGTGCAATAGACTTGGTGTACAAGATAGATCTACGGGGTCGCAATAGATTTGGGGCGTGAAATACACTCCAGAGTGCAGATGTATTGATGGGCTTTCGCGTGCAATACATGAGTTGCAATACACTGC